GTGAGAAGAACGCCAAGAAGAGCAAAAGAATAAGGAAGAGAAATTATTCTTCTCTCTCTTCTTTTTCCTCCTTTACTCCTTCCTTTCCTTCTTCTTCTTTTTCCTCTTCTTCTTTTTCATTTTCTCTCCCTATTAATATTTCTTTTCCCACCTCCTCTTTAACCTCCTGCTTTTCTTCTTTTTCTCATCCTCCTCATTTCACCCTCCTTTTTTCCTTCCTTTTCCTTCTTCTTTCTGTTACTCTTTATCCTCCTCCTTTTTTCATCCCACTTTCTCCATCTCTTTTTTTCTTTCCTATCTCTTACCTTTTGTTTATTTTTTCTTTCCGATTCTTTTCTTCCATTTTTCTGCATCTTTTTTCTTACCGTTTTTCTTCCTTTTCTTATCTTCTCCTTTCTTTGTCCTCATTTTCTTTCCTTTGTTTTTCCCCTCTTTTTCTTCCTTTTCTGTGATGTTCCTCCTTTTCTTTCCCATTTCTTATTCGCTATATTTTTCTCCCCTTTTCTTCTAATTTCCTCCCCTTTTCCTCCTCTCCTTCCTTTTTCTTCTTCTTTTTTATCTTCTTCTTTCACCTCCCTCCTTTCCATCCTCCCATCCTCTCTTCCTCCCGATATCCAATGCGCCCCCATCAAACATCCGTCCGGAGCCCTGAGACCCGAATCCTCCGGACCAGGGTTAAATTCTTTCTTGCACCTCGACTTTTGACCAAGTTTCGAAGCAGCACACCACAGTGCGCGCCGCACCACATCCCAGCTCCACATCTCTAATCTAAAACCACCCAACTCGCAATACCGATCCCGCGACGGTTACGCGGTTATGAACGCGGACGGGAGGGCTGTGGGTTTATAAAAAAACAACATTGGAGGAGTTAAGATTTTATCTTCACACCTGAGCCGGGCCCCCTCCCGCCGCCCGTGGCCCGGGGCCGCGGCGGCACCGCTTTGCATCACACCGTCGCGTTTAGCTCCACAACAAATTTGCCCGGGCCGGGCGGGGCAGGGGGCGGCGGCGAGGGCCCTCGTAATTTATTGGGCCCAAATCGCCGTGGGCCCACGCGGCGCGGACGGGCTGCTCCGCAGAAATTCGCCCGAGTCCGCGTTGCCGATTGGACGCCTCTCGCGGAAAGTTGGCCGCGGCCTTGAAAACCTTGGAAAAATTTCGGCACACTGGAAAAAAAAGAATCTCAAATTTGCCGCCAAGAAGTATTTCTTCCTAAATCAAGAATTTTGCTGGTCAATATAAGCTACTTTTTTGCTTAACCCAAGCATTAATTTTCTTGAATCAAGAAAAAGTCAGCTTAAAGCAAGATGAAGAAAATTCTTGGCGGCAAATTCAAGAATTATCATGCTTGATCCAAGCTACTTTTTTTTCAGTGCAGTCTTTAGAGAGAGGTAGAGTACAGTACTGCCGTGCTAAGGGAAAACGTCGTATGAGTCGTCAAGTGTTGCCAAATCTTCCTTGATAAAGCACGAATTTTCGGGAAAATTTGTTAATATTTTTCTGCGAATTTTTCGGAGCACTGGAAAAAAAACACATTGTATCTAGAGTCCAGACTCTTGAAAACATTGACAAGAAAAAATACTCTTGATTCAATCGGATTTTTGCTCAAATTAAGAACCAAGCCTCTTAATTTGAGCGGATTTCCTTTTGATTTAAGCAAAAATCCGATTGAATCAAGAGTATTTTTTCTTGTCAATGTTTTCAAGAGTCTGGACTCTAGATACAATGTGTTTTTTTTCCAGTGAGAGGTAGAGTATAGTACTGTCGTGCTAAGGAAAAACGTCGTATGAGTCTTCAAGTGTTGCCACATCTCCCTCGATGAAGCGCAAATTTTCGGGAGAATTTGTAAATATTTATCTGCGAATTTTTTTAAGGGTCTCGTTCATAATTTGATCTAAAATGCCAGAAAATTTCGAAGAAAAATTATTCATAAAGTTCTTCAAAAAGAAATTTTCCTGAGAGGCAATTTGGCAACATTCGAATGCTCATACGGCGTTTTTCCTCAGCACGGCAGAGTAGCGAGGTGTGGATGGCCGATTATCGATATTTCTCCATTTAAATCTATGGTAAAGAATCGATAATTAAGGCCTTCGTTGCGAACACCCTTTTTATCGATTCTTTACCACAGGTTTAATCAGCGGATCAATCGACACATCGCAAAGCATGCCACGTCTTCGGTGGAGTACCTGTACATGTCGAAGGAAAAAAATCAAAGCAGGTATTTTGTCAAATGCCTGGGCAAATAGTCAAATATTCTCACTTCGATTAAAATTTTGATTTTTTACCCTAATTTCAAACCAAATAATTCGTTGTCCCTGAAGGAAAGAATTCTCTGTAAAAATATGATAAGATCCTGAATGCACATTTATCATGAAATTTTCAGCATGTCATAAAACAGAATTTTCACGCATGAAACTTTAAGTAAGTTAAGGAAGTAAACGAAACCAAAGGAGTTATTGTGAATCAATATATTCTGGCCCATTAACATCTGTCGATACTGAAAAATCAGCGAATTGCAAAAAATTACAATACATTTTAACTTTTCCTCTAACATGCTTCAACTACATCACATCCTTCATATTTTTTTTATCACAAAACCCCGGAAGAGATCCACGAGATGTCTGATGCAATGCGGCAACACTCTGCGCGGCTGCATTTTGCAAGCGGCGAGTTAACTAAGTGTTCTTCCTTCTTCTTAGCCCATCTCCTACCTCCTGCTCCGATCTAATCCGATATCAAGTAATTGTTCCTCACTCATTTTGATTTTTAATTATTGCACTTCTTAATCGGGCGACGCAAGAGCGTGAGCCTCGGTTGTTTGCACCAGCGTTGTCACACCAATCGCTAGATACGACGAGTGAAAACCTAGAAAATCGGGGGAAATTGTGAAAAACCGCGATCCTAACGCACAGTGGATCGAGTTAACACGAGAGGTCGGACAAAATTTGGAAACTTCAAAAGCTTATAACTCCGGTTATACAAAATTTTAAGGTTCTAAAAGTGGTTCCTTTGGTTTCCTCGTAAAATTTTCTTATTAAAGCACCCCTCAAAATTTAAAATGTTACGGAATAACCACCAAAATTTGCAGTTTTAGTCAAAAATTTCATGTCCGACCTCTCTAGTTGATTCGATCCACTGTGCGACGATTAACATCGCATTGTTTATTGAAAATTTAAAAATTTAAAAATTTAAAAATTTGAAAGGATGAAGGAGCGACTTATTTGAGGAAAATGGAGCAGTCCTACTGGTTGCAACGGATAGTTGGAAAATTATGGACTAACTATAGGGTCTCGTGGATTGACATTACTTATTGCTAGTCTATTATCTACATTATTTGCCCACTGCAACCACCCGCTTCTACCAATAGGGCCCCTTCCACATCCCTTTCTTTGTCTATAGCTTTGTCTATCAATTTCAACAATCAGCCCGCAGTTCGTTTCTTCTCAGGCCTTGTCTCCACGAGCCGTTTCACGAGATTTGTCCCAGGGAAAAATCAAAGTCAGTTAATCAATATTTTTCCCAGTACCAAGTATGGTACTTGTACCCCTAGGATCCACTGAGAGAAGAAGAAGAAGTGAAAACGAATTGTGCGATATTTTATTCATTACTACATTGTTAATGTTTGTTTAGTTAAAAAATGTGTCTAATTGTCAATTGAGTGCAATTATTATTTTAATCCCGGTTAAACACTCGACTTTAACTAATTTATCTTCCCGCGCAAACTAGTCGCAGGACTGTATGAGCCTCGTCCCGTGGAGACGGTAACTGGGAAAAATCCCAGAAGTTTCATTCCTGCGATTCGAACCTGGGACAAATCCCATGAAAACGTCCCGTGGAGACAAGGCCTTACAGATTGTGGGATGTCTTAAATAGGCCAGACGAATGACAACCCAGGAGCAAGGGGTAAATCAATGCTGAAACTGCGCCTGCGCGGCGCGGGAATACCAATTAAAAGCGGGCGCATTTTAATCGAGGATGCAAATGAGCCGACTCGCGCGCGGCCCAACGCGGCGTAAATAAAAGGCGGATAAATACGTCCTGGCAGAAACTAGACGAGCGCAGGTGCTGAGATCGCGCCGCTAAGCCGCGCTCTCCGCCTAATAACCTATCGACAGAGGATCGAGAGGCGTTACTGGGTCGAACCCGGTTCTATCGATTAATCGATCGCCCTATACTCTGCGCAGATCCTGCAGTTATTGGTCGAAGAGGAATCTAACTTCGATTTCCGATCAGAAAGGAAATGGACATACAGAGGCGTAGGAAGGGGGGCCAGGGGAGGCCTGGCCCCCCCCTAGAATTGAAAATAGTATCATATGCCCCCTCCCCCCCCAGAAATTCTGGAGGGTGCAAAAACACCTTCTTACACGGTAAGTCTCTGTCGCCGTGGCCCGTGAGAGGACGCCTGTAAATAGAAAAACCTCTTGAATGCAACAATTTCAAAGTATTTTAACCTTAAAATGCATAAAACTGGGTGATTTTTAGGCAGAAATTGAAGGAAGATTAGCGCCACAAGTGCCTCGAGATCCGCTCAAATAGAGTTAAAATTTCAAAAATTTTCCCCCGGGCCCCCCACTGAGCTGAAAGGTACTCCAACTCCATACCCCCCAGACCTCCCGGTGGTAGGGGGCCAGGCTCCCCCCAGCAAATTGACCTAGCTACGCCTATGTGGAAATTCATGGGTGGGACTAGGAGCTTTTTGTGAAGGGAGCAGAGCAGTGGTGAGGCGTGAATGAGAATGATCGATTATCGATACTTCACCATTTGAACCTATAGTAAAGAATCGATTAGTAAGGTGTTCGTTGCAGACATCCTGTTAATCGATGTTTTTCCACAAGTTTAAATGGGTCATCAATTGATGGGTCGCAAAGCACGCTACGCCACGGAAGCAGGGGAGTGCCTTTTTGGAAGGGATCATAAACTACAATTCATAGAACTGCAATGCAAATTTACTTCTCATCATTACGATCATAGTTATTGATAAAAGTTTATTGTTGTTCCAGGAGATCCGGTTGGCATTACCCGAAGACACCTTCCTATCCCAGCTCTAGAGGATCGTCGAAGCACTGATCGCTGACCTCCGATATTGGTTCCTTTCTCTCGAAATTTGGGATAAAACCCACGTTATTCCTATTCTCTGTAAATAATAATAAGTGATAGTTGCTTATAAGATAGAATGTACAGTGATATAGCGTAGAGGAGTTTTCCATTGTTAACATCAAGGGAACACCAAATTACTCTCTCGGTACAGCGCAAAAAAAGATGTGACAGAGGGTTATTAAATTTTGAATTTTAGTCAGTCAAAATTCAACGTCCATTACGCGGTTTTTGGTTTCATGAATAAATGCGCACCCATATTCGATTTAAAATATGTAAAATCTGGTGGTTATTTTTGTGATTTCCCTCATCTTCAAGTTACTAGATCTGTTTGATGTAAGGAAAATATGCTTTGACATAACAGTTTTTTGTCAGTCTTTTCATTAGACCAGAAATAACGCAGCAAATTATTTTTTAACATTCTCTCAAGATTGCAGTTTTCAACACTATGCACAAATTAAATATGTCCTTTAATAGTTTACAATCCATTTAGCAGCAGTGCCAACGTCAAGGAATCTATGGCAATGAGTCAGTATACATTTTGAAATATCTGCAGCGTTTGATGAGCTCCATCGATATCACATATTTCAAGTGTTTTAAAAAAATGTATGCATAAAATTAGTAAATATTCTATGCAATGATATTTCTAGACATTAAAGAAGTATGAGGTATCTAATCAAAGTGATGTTTACAGAATGATGATGTTTGAGTTATTCCTCGCATTTCCTCGGGCTTTGAACTGTGCTCGCATGATTGCCCACAGCGGTTAAAATATTGTTCATATTTCTCTATAGTTTTATCTCTAATGTTTGTTATGTATCATAGGTGAATATGTTTCGCAATAGTTGTAATTTTAGGTCGGATTAAATATTGAAATTTGTTTTTGCGTATTTAAAAATTTATTCAATCTTCAAAAGAGGAGAACGGTCAAAAAGGTTGCACCGAGAGTTCCGAGAACGAGACAACGAAATCTCAACGATTCAACCAAATCGACCCCCGATCTCAGTTATTTAACTCTCTGTACGAATCGTGAGGCAAAATACCTCCCCCAACATCTGACAAGTTTTATTGTTAACCATTTTTGAGAAATCGAAACATTATTTGTTACACGGAAAGTGGAATAAAATAGACTATTATTTTACATCTGTTTGCGTTTTCATTCCGCGGTAATATTCCCATTTTCAACGGGCTGAAAAAGCGGAATTCAAAGGACCACGATCATTCGAGAGAATGGGTCCCTCCCGCTATGTGTTGAAGGCGGGACCGAGCGAGCAAGTGTTGATTGCAACCCACTGACACAAAGGGTTGCTTAATGGTTCACATTGCACCCTGCGGACGAAACGATATCCATCACGGGGTGTTTGTCGTTAAAATAGTTAACGCCAGTCCATCTTCGGCCCGATTAGTGTCAAAGTTTCTTTCTTTGCCGGGTAACGGCTTGTAATAGATATGGTTTTAACTTCCCTCAAACGAGACACCTGTTCATGAATCTTGACGTACTTAATTTTCCTCTCACAGCAGATTCTGGCTTTTAGTTGGAAATGTGAGTTTTTAAGTCGCGCGGGGTAGAGTGAAAAAATTATTGCTGAAACTTTAAGTTGAACTATTGAACACGGTTGTCAGATGGTACACTGGAAAGAAAACACATTGGATCTAGAGTCCAGACTCTTAAAAACATCGACAAGAAAAAGTACTCTTGATTCAATCAGAATCTAGCTTAAATCAAGAACCAAGCCTCTTAATTTAAGCGGATTTCGTTTTGATTCAAGCAAAAATCCGATTGAATCAAGAGTATTTTTTCTTGTCAATGTTTTCAAGAGGCTGGACTCTAGATCCAATGTGTTTTTTTTTTTTTCCAGTGTAGTGAAACATTTGGCTCGCTCTATCTATTCCTAATATCCATATCTATTCTGTAGCTATTCTATGTCCATCGCTGAGATCCAAAAATGTGTACCTCCAGTGTACCGTTACAAAATCTCCGATCGTGTTTCAGTTTTTAAGAGTTTAACAATCCAGAAAATCTCCTTACTTGAAATTGTGTGTGAATATTTTTGATGGATGAAGAAATTTCATGGAATATTTTAGGGGCAACTATTGGTTAGCTCTTTACTTAAACATGAGTGAACTTTTGCAACGTCGCAATGGGAGACACGCATTTTCCGACTTCAGACATCGATATCATATTCTTTTCACATATAACACTGATTTTAAAAAAAAGTAGGCCCTTTGTGTTAAAAATGTTTCATGATCTTTTTGGAGATAGAAGAAATTCGAATATGCAACTTTCATGGATATATCGTAAAGTAGAACAAGGAACTCTTCCGTTGGTCTGATTTTATCATAAGCAATAATTTGCAGGCATAGTGAATAGGATCTTCCCTACATTCATGCTTCACTCCTGAGATGCACACAAATACTTATCTAACAAAAGGAGAGCTCATAATCTTAAATTTCTATAGTAATGTACAAAACGTATCAAAACAAATTGCTTTACTTATGTAGCTGATTAAAATCTGTACTGAATGTATGTATAAATTTATGAATCCAAAAAGTCGGTGAATTTTATAATCTCACGAGCCTCAAAAATTGTGACGGAAATGGAAATTATGGACGCAAATTATGCATGGATCCAGGATCTTCGGAGGTAATTAAACCTATAAATTAGTCATCTACCTTTGAACACATGTGTGAATGATCCCCAACCTGTAAAATATTTGAAATTTCTCTTAGAATGCACTAAATTCATGAAGAAATGCAAACTAAACTTAAAACAAGTGATTTTGAAACAATGTAAGTTACAGGCTCCAATTACGTTCGTTGATTGACGGCTTGATGAAATTCACCGCAATCTGTCCCGATAGTTTGGCTTCTTTTCTTTTTAAACCGACGGGAAGGTAACACAACTTTGAGGGCACTGTTTAGAACTAGTTTGAAGACCAACGACAAAAGTTTGCCGTTGCAGTCAGTATGTTATTTTTTTGTGGTGGGTAGGGCGGTAGATTACCGTTTACTTTCCCTCGCTAACGGCTTTCAAAAGTCACTTATAAAGCATACTGGTGCTAAAGGAAAAACGTCGTATGAGCCCTCAGATATTGCCCTATTTCCCTCAAAAAGCAAATTTACTGGGAAAATTGTGGATATTTTTTTTCAAATTTTTCAGACGATTTTTTTCGTAATTTAATTTAAAGTATCTGAAAATTTTAATGTAAAATATGCATAACTTTCCTCAAATGGTAGGTACAATATAAAAAACAAATGGGTATATATGTCTAAAAAACAGATTAAACACAACCAGGACGTTTCGGGCCAATTGGACTACATTTTGCAATTTGGAACTATAAATTTTGGCTCTTCAGGAAAAACACTTATGTGCATAGGGAAACTAATGGCGCATACGTCGTTTTGAAATTGGGATAGAATTTATAGTTTCAAATTGCAAAATGTAGTCCAATCACATGCCAATTCTTAACTGGAACGAAAGCCTTGTATACCCATTTGTTTATTATTTATATCGTATTTTATCGTTCTAAATTTGAGCTATTGTGTTGTTCTCCTCTCTTATTAGTGTCCTTCAAAAATACTTATTTTACCCGGAAAAATTTGGCGTTTCTTTTCAGCACAACAGTATAGACAAGTTAGCTGTGTGGAATCTCTAATTCGTACTGTCTCTGTCCAAATGTTATTTTTTAAAAAAACATCGGAAATGTTGTGATCACTGATTCCTCGATGGAGCAGCAAATCAGGGTACGCTTTCAGAATATTTATATTTGATTTTTTAAAAATTCTGTGAGTTGTAATATAAAATATAAAAATTCTATATAGCGAGCTTGAAAATATAAATATTATTATAATTATTATAATAGCGCTCGACCAGTTCATTATTAATTCAAATGAAAAAAATTCACCTACAATGTAGAAAAATCAAGTCCATCTTATGAAACAATCCGGTCGTTTCCCACCTCCCATCCGCTGAGTACACACAAGCGAGGCACCAATAAGGGGTCGCAGCTCGGAAAGACAAACACGGGCAATCGTAAGCAAATAAAACGGGCCCGACGGAGCAACCCCATTGGTCGGAGCACGAGAGGTCGGGGGAGTCCACTCGGCGCCTCGCCGCCAGATCGCGCTGGCAGGCTCCGTTTCCGCTGCACTCGAAGCTATCTATACGTTTCCGCACGATTCGGCGGCGGGTGGCGCTGTTCTGCTAGTGTCCATTCCGCAAACCGGGGGGCGTGGCCGGGGTTTTGCATAATGTTCGCGAGTGCTGGAAAGTGCTTACTCATTGAGCTTCGTCTAGGAGTGGTGTCGGAGGCAGGGCGCGATTGAGAAAACAGATGGCTCGGACCGATGAGGGTTTGTGATGCAGTGTTGGATCGACATAGACACACATCGTTAGCGAGTGTCTGAGGATATGGTGAGAGGATGTACGCTTTTGCAAATGGACCACTAGACAAGGTGTGAATTTTGGCATGTTATGTCATCTTATTGAACTTTCAGGTAGCATACGATTCGCGCGACGGAAATTTCTGAAATTTGAATTAACTGCTAACCAAGATATTTAATGTCTCTTAACGGTGAATTCAAATCCCTGCATGCTCATAAAAACGCAATAGTCCGTGTGTCGCGTCGAATCGCACACTAAATGTTACCGTGGCAGTCTCAACGATACACTGGAAAAAAAACCACATTGGATCTAGAGTCCAGACTCTTGAAAACATTGACAAGAAAAAATATACTCTTGATTCAATCGGATTTTTGCTTGAATTAAAACGAAATCCGCTTAAATTAAGAGGCTTGGTTCTTGATTTAAGCTAGATTCTGATAGGATCAAGAGCTCTTTTTCTTGTCGACGTTTTTAAGAGTCTGGACTCTAGATCCAATGTGTTTTTTTCTCCAGTGTACGAAAATATGATAACCTCAATATTGACGCTTTGGCTCAGCTATAGCAAATTGTTCACATTTTGAATAATAAAGGGTGTGGGAAAGAAACAATGCTTGATTGAGAAGCCTGCCAAAACCGCACAAATAGAATGCACAGTTTCCCGTTCATAGAAAAAATAATAATCCATTTGAGCTAAATGGCACACTAAAAGTTATCATGACAATCTTTAAAGTGTGAAAATATGACAACCTCAATTTTGGCACTCCGGGTCAGGTATTGCACGATTATTACAATTGAACACAAGTCGGAGAAGGAACACTGCTCGCTTGAAAAGCTTACCAAAACAATTGTAGTGTGCGATTTGATTCAAATGGACTCCTTTTTTTTGTGAACTGGAAGTTCAAAGTTTTTGTTAATGCTTAATAGAATCCTTAATACCTTGGCTGAGAGTAAACAGTAGTCTTCGTTTCGCGAATCGAGTTCTACATGAAATTTTGTAGAGGAAATGTATCGGATCGCTTAAATCCGTATCCTAACCTTTGGTCCATTTTAAGTTGTAGGTCGCATCGGATTCTTTTGAAATTCCTTCATTTCGTCGCATAGGCAATTTGATCTCCGGAGAGTTAAAATAGTTGCTCATCTTCGATGAAGGCGCGACGGCACGGTGCAACGCTTTCATTAAGTAAGTTATAGGTTGGACCCGACTTGTTCACAATCCCTTCATTTCTTCAAATAGGCAATTTGATCTCTGGAGAGTATGAATAGTTGCTGGAGGACGGAGTGCGCTTCCGATGAAGGCGTAGCGTCCTCAGTCAAGTCAGGCTGCAGATTACCGGTTTAACTGAATGTTCAATGATTGCTTTTTATTGCGGCGTTGCAGATTTTTTTTTTTGTCACTCTTCACTGTTGTGAAGGTTGACTGATCAACGTCATTGCAAAAAAGTCCTTGTCATTATTTTGTACCCCTCTATGATTATAAAATTGTTGGGGGAAAATATTCGGTTATCACTAGGGTTAATCTTTCAAAAAAATTATGAAGGAGCAAAGGTGCGGTACAAACTTTCGAATATTTCAAGAACGATTCAACATTTTTTCCAGCGAAGTTTGATGGATAGGGAACTAACTTGCACGAAACGACAAGGGTCCGCTTTTAGGAGAGGATAGCAGAATTTTACATGAATTTCCATAATAAAAATTTTCGTGCTCAACATTTTAATTTTGACAAGTCACTGCTTTTTTACCTGTTAATTTGAAAGGAGAC